TTCTTCGAATGCTCAGAATCCCTGGAACCCCCCACAAAACACTCTAAAATTCTCTAACACTGTCTAATTCCCTGTCGGGCTCTCCCAGACCTCATAAATGCTCAAAATCTCGAAATCCCTAACTAACCCTTCCAAGGCTCTCCAACACCTGTCTCTTATACACATCTAGATGTGTATAAGAGACAGCATGTCGCCAGTGTGCTGCGTACTGTTTACATGTGTGAAAAGTGTGTTTGAAAGCAAGTCTGATTGCAGTAGTCCCAAACATTGTTATACTCATCTGGTTCCATGGACTTCCACCAGGATTCACATTTTGAACACATGAGCTGTTTACTAACCATGAGTAAGTTACGTGTCTGTACCCGTACCATTCTCCCACATGGGGTGGGTGGACAACCATATGATTCCTGTTCTTTTGGAAATACATATGAATGTTTGGAGGTTCAGCCTCTCAGAGTCTCTTGAACACCCTTTCTAAGAACCTTTTCTAATGATTTGCTGTGTCTCAATGTGGCAATGGGCGGGTATGTTCTTGCGATGCAGGCTTTGGACATTTCACCAAATCCGGGAAGGACCGATCCCATGTATGTTGTTTTCTCAAGGAAGCTGAGAGCATGACGGCAACGGATGCTAGTTGCTGTGTTTTCTACTTTTTATTGTTATCACATCCTATAATCGTCTTGTTTGAATTATGAAACAAAGTTAAGGAAATCTATCGTCTTTGAGTGTTCATAAACTTCATAATTCTGGCCCTATCTCTCTTTGACCCTAAACCTCTATCTTCTCTTCTTTCCCTCTCTCTCTTCCTCCACTCGTCCCCTTCTCTTCTCCTCTCGTCTCCGCTCACCTCCTCTCCTCTGCCTTCCCCTCTCTTCCTCCTCTATTCCACCTCATGCAGTGTTCTCATCTGTTCTCTAGCCTCTCTTTTCCTCTTTCTTTCAGTTTTTTTCCTCTTTGTGTTCTGTTTATCTTCTACTCTTTATCTCTTCCTCCTCTCTTCCTCCTCTCTTCCTTCTCTTTCTCCCCTCCGCTCCTCTCCTTGTCCCCTCTCTTCCTCCTTATTTAGTGTTCT